CAGACCCACTGGAAAAGTAATTCAGATATCCCCCACAGGATGCAGTTCCATAGTAAGAGAGTCACGCATGGGAAGCCTGAGTTCACATAATCAAGTAAGGGACCAAAGTAATTTTCAAGATAAATGAAGATCAATGGAAGTTCATGTCAAAAGAATGTTATCCATGAGAAGAAAAAAAGGAGGAAAGGACAGAAATGACAGAGGTTAATTTCTGGTCAAGATAGTTTAAAAGAAAAAAAAAAATGCTCCAAAAAGAGATGTTGGCAAGTAGCTCAGACATGAGACAATAAATGGAGACACAGTGTCAGCGAGACGCTTTTATTTGAAAACTGAGTCCTTTCAAGGAAATGAGGAAAAACCATTATAATTGCAGGACACAGGATGGGGTGTCTGAACCACTCATGGAATTTTTCTAATGGTCAGTTCTCCAGCGGGCTCCTTGGCCATGGTTGACAGAGTTCAGTGTAGAGACTTGTGACCTGAGCTAGTCTCAAATTCTCCCTTAGTGATTTGTAAAGTAGAGCAGAGACAACTAGAGGCAAAGGCATTGAGAGCTGAGCCCACCATGGCCATGTCCCAGTGTGGTGCTTCTGACCTCCTGGAACAGCTTTGGTCACTTTCCGCCTAAGTGAAAGTTGCCCGACTTCCTTCACTGAGTTTCTTTTCTGACTTTGCCACAACAAAGTTCTCCAAATTATTCAGAAACAAAGCAAATAAGAGATAAATTATTTCAAGATAATTTATTTTGTTGATGAAGAGTAATATTTAAAATGAATTCTTAACAACAAAATTGATTCTGACCCCAGGACAGTGCTGACTCTAGTGACCAGTGGGATGCTCTTTTGGTTGGTGCTGTGGCCTGTGGTTGATGCCACTTGGCATCAGGCAATGTGGCTGCAACTGATGCAGAGGTGTTCAGCAAAGATGGATAGACACCTGGGAGGATTGGCATTTTTATGGAGGGTGGTTGTTTCAAGAGAACATCCAAGAACCAGCCTAAGAATTCCTTGGGAAACCACTGCTTCCTCTACATCCTGCCTGTGGGATTAATGGATAAATCAACAGTTTGGTTTCCAGCAGGCAGGCAATTAAAAAGCAGAGTTAGGACTGGGGGTGTAGCTCAGTGGTAGGTAGAGCTTGCCAAGCATATTTAAGACCCCAGGTTTCATCTGCAGCACCAAAAATATTTTTTAAAAATTGAATAAATGGGCCAGGGTGATCCTAGTGGCACTAATAGTCCTAAAATCAGTACAAAGCAAAATTTCACAGGGAAATATCATTGTGCAAGTTGATTAATGCAGCATAGACAAAAAGGTAAAGAAGAACCAAGATGAAACAAGTTATAGCTGGGTGAATACATTAAGTGCCACTTTCCAAGAAGGGTGGAAAGAAGAGAAACAAGAGAAATGTAGGGACAATGGTTAGCAGGGCAGGACACTGGAATGACGTAGGGTGCATGTGAGTCAGTGCTGAAAGAGTCTGTCATTTGAGAACATTCTAAAATGCTCCTCAGTCTGCAAGTTCATTAGACTCTGAGAAAACTAACACTGCTAAGACCATCGACTGCCTCAGAGATCTCCACCCACCAAGCTGAGGTAATGCAGGGTAAGACTGCCTGTTCATTTCTGGCTGCCCAGCATTAGCAGAGTACCTAGCACAAGGAACAACATAAATGTTTGCTAAAAACACATTGAATGAACTAGGACAATAAACCACCCCTTGGCACACAAAAGTAGCATTTTAATCTAATCTGAGAATGCAGACACAAATATATTAAAGTAAAAGTATGTCTAAGAATGCATATAGAATTGCTTTCTGTGGCATTCTTGTTCAGATTGCAAATAATTGCTATATTCTTCTCAGTAACTTTGAAACATTCAATTGATGCAGAAAACAAGAGCAGAAAAGGCAAATTCATCTTGCTTATAGCAAATAAAGTATGCATTTTCTTCTTTTGCTAAATCCCTGTGTTCTAGGAGAATAATTTCTTTGTACTCCTCCTGCATATTTATGATCTTCTAGTGCAGTGTGAATCTTTAACCAGAGCAGGTATCAATCACAATGTACTTAACAAAGAAACAGGATCACTTTGCTTTCAGAGTAAGTAAAATATTTTCACTGATTTATTGGTCACTGACTGTACTTAAAAAAAAAAAAACTGTCTTCTGTGTAGTGCAGTCATAGCATAAAATGTTTCCTTTTATCTACCAAAAACTTGCTTATTTGAAAATACCAGTTCTATCTTTGAAAGCTCAAAATGCAGAATTAGAATCAGTAGAAAATTAGAAATCGGGGTGTATCTAATTGAACTAAAGTTTGTCTGCAGTTAAAACATGAGCCCACTTTCTCATCAATGGCCTAACAGTTCTATAATATGTATCAGCAAGTTTTTATGTTCTTCCACAACTGCAAACAACAAATCCGATACTTACAAGATGAGTTGAAGGTTCAATTTTATCACTTTTTCTGATATTTATAAAGACAATAAAAAGAAGTGTCAAAAAATTTGCCTGTATGTTGGAGTCACATCTCATAATATGCACAGAAACTTCACATTATAGTGAGTTTGGCACAGCTAAGAGTTATATTCCACTTGTGAAAAAAAAATAATAATAGAACAAGAGCCTGGAAGCTTAAATTGTAATGTTTCAAGATTCCATCTACTTTTTTCTCCACAGTATTTTAATGTTGAAGAAAGGCATATCTCATTGATATTATTACTAAACTTTAAAGATGCTACAGCATCATGAAGAAACAGTACATTGGAATGATCCAGAACTCAATCTGAACACCAAACCTATTACCTTTGACCTGAGTCTACACAAATGTTAAATAAGATAAATGATACCTGTCTCGTGGGGTTGATATGGAGAATAGTGCAAATGAGATCATGCAAAATTCCTAGAATAAGGTAGCGGAAAATTTTGCTTATTTGAGAAAGGTTCCTTTTTAGTGCATAAATATTTAATGTATGCATTCCTTTGTAATTACAAAGGAAAGAAAAAGAAAGGAAACCCAACAAATATGGATTATAAAGTAGAAGAAAACTCCTGTGCTGGGGTCTAAAGGTGTCTTGGGGATGAATGATTTCTGATGTTGGTAAAACCGTGTGGGGTCAGCTGTCTCTCCCCAACCCCCTTGACTCTTTGGCATTCAGAAAATGATCACTCAGGCCCTGGACTGGTGGTTTGATGGGTCTGATAAAGCCTTTGCTAAACCATTGCCTTTCCTCATTCTATTGTCTCTTCAGAGTGAGAAAATCCTGATAGAGATAATAGCTGGAATAATTTAGCTTCGAATTTACTGTCTATTACACAAACTTCAGGGGATCTGAGTTTTCAGATGTAACATCTTAGACAAACTCTACTTTGAAAATATTTTCAATATTTGAAAACATTTGAGATGATAATATTTTTCATTTTTTGTTTATTATTATTTATAAGCCTTCATTTCACAGTTATGTACCTTTAAGATTTGGACTGAAGTTTTTTCAAACATTTGGAAAGCATACTATCTGAATAAACAAATATGGTAAGAGTATTTATTAATCTCATTATCTTCTCCAGGAAATGGAAAAGAAGAAAAAAAATGAAGAAGAAATTTTATCATGTTCCTGCCCAGAGGAGCACTAATGGGTTATGAACCCTTTCAGAGTCATAGAGCAGAGAGGAAAATGGTTGCCTTGGTAACAGGCAGACCAGTCAGTTGCATACACTCTCCCAAGAGCATCTAATGTATTCAGCAAATGCAGGCTAGAACAGGTGGCTAACCTAAATGATGCCAAAAAGCATTAGCTCTCCAACCCCGGTGTCCTCCACATTTTCTTGTATACAAACTAGTATACCTGTCCCTTATAGAGGAAGAGTTAACCAGGTACATTTCAGAGTAGCTCATGACATCATTAATAGACAGAAAAGCTGTCTGCAATTGTCGCTTTTGAATTTTCTGACAAGAGATAGTGTACATTATTTTATCAAATGATCAATACCAACAACTTAATTTTACTAGTTACTTTTAAAGTGGAGGTCATCCTAACTCTGATTATAAAATTTAATCATTGGTCTTTTAATAAATAAAATATTTTTGTGAGTTTTAAGAGCAAGAAAATGTATTGCTAGATTTTACAATCCTTGCTTTAGATGATAAAGAGCCACAGGAATTTTAATTTAATAAGTTATCTAAAAGCTTCTAATTCTGGATTGTCAAAGGGAAGAACAGGGTTATAACATCAAGTCAGTTAAAGCTCTACTTATTATAATGCTGACTAAAGCTATTAATTAAAAATATAAAGGAAATATTCAGAAAACTCACAGTAAAGTACATGCTTTTTTCATACAACATACGGACTTTTATGTTCAAGGCCGTTAATTTTTCCAACCTCATCTCCAAACACATCCCCGAGTACATCCTGACAGAATCACAATACAATCTACTCCTCACTTCCCTTTCCTTTGTGTTTTCTCTCTTCTCCCAAGACTGGACTCTTTGCTGCACACTGCAAGACCAGACATTCTCCCTCTGCTGAAGCCTGTACTCACCACTCCCAGGGAGAATGATCATTTTAGATGATAACCAGCTCACTGTGTCCCTTTGCAAGTGATTCTATCATTTTCATATCTGCCTTTTTCTTCAGACTGATTTCTTTCAAAATCTGCACAATTCTAATATATGACAAAATATTTTCAGAAATTCAAATAAAAACCTCACTAATTTGGACAAATTTCAAAAAAAAATGGGTGGATTATTTTCATCAAATGTAGTCTTAAATTGAGATTTTTCTTTTTAAATCTGGGTATCAGTCCATCTCCAGGTTGTTAACCCTGAACATTCCCACACTCAGAGCATCTCCACCAAAAAAACAAAAACACTTCTAAGAACACAGCTTGGAAAATGCTGGACTTGACTTATTACACAATCTGGTTTGCTTTACAACTATCTACTACATAATAATTACGTAAGCAAGTGTTTGTTGAAAACAACATTTAAAATAGGAGACAACATTAGTTAGGAAGTAGAGGTCTTAGCATTCTTTATTGATCTGTTTTAGAAGTCTTGCAATTGTTTCCAAAGGTGGACCCTTGCTGAGTGAGGAGGTTTCCTTGGCAACAGGAATAACTGCTTCCATCATGTGGAGAAAATGCATCTCTGTTTGTTTTGGACTCATCTTCTACTCAGAAATATTATGTTGCTTCAAAGAAAGCAAGAACCTCTCATTTTCAGTACTTATCAGGTCTCCAGTTCATGGAATGCATGTTGCTGTGGAAAACAAGCAGTAATGGTAATTATCAGACAAGTTTCCTTGTGAATAGGACACAACCTCCCATGTGCTTATGCATGCTCTCATACACCACACACACACACACACACACACACACACATACACACAATTATTCTTATATGATCCCCTTTTTCATTTTCAGTTGTAAATGCCTTTGATTCCTATCATTTTTCTGCAGATAGAATTACAGATAATACTTATACCTCAATATCCTATAGCCAATAGAAAGCTTTGTTGTAGCAACAGGCAGTAGATAACACACGTAGTCCCATATTATTATAAGATGAGATGGAAAAACAAAATAGAACCTAAAAATTAATGCTGTTATAATCAATTCCCTATTTAGTTCATATTTGTTCACATGAAATGTTATTTCATGTCATTTTTTCTCTCAACAGCAGTTTGAAAATATTTTTCTTGCTGCTGATGAAACTTCTTTATGAAAATTTCATACAACTATACAGTCATATCACAAAAGAGCTGGAAAACCCAGTACATCATACACATATCCACATAAATGGAAATATTTTGTCTGGACTTTGTGCTCATAAAAATCAGTAAAGTTGCATAGAGTTTGTTTTTTTAAATCTTCTGAAGAAATTCTTCTAGTTTGTATGTTTATGTAAATAGTTAAATAAATGATATTTTTTTTTCTTTCCATACAAAGGATTGAATCTAGGGATGGTCAATTACTGAGCAACACCCTCAGCCCTTTTATATAGTTTATTTAGACACAGGGTCTTGTTAAGTTGCTTAGGGCCTCAGAAATTGCTGAGGCTGGCTTGGAAATCATGATCCTCCTGCCACAGCCTCTTGAGCTGCTGGGATTACAGGTGTGCATGACTGTGTCCAGCCATAAATTAGATTTTTGGAGCAAAGAATAATATATAAAAAAGGCTCAAATGCATAGTCCAACTTTTTCAACATAGCATATGCACAGAATTCCAAGCATGAATGGGAAAACTGCAATGGATTCTTCCATATATGAAGTATCCACGGAGTACAAATGTTAAGATATTATTTAACAGAAAGAGTCAAAAGCTGTTGTATTCAACATACTTCCTACTCATAACAACTTGAAATTTAGATCTGCAATGAACCTGAGAAGGAAGACAACCCCTTATTTTAATTTATAAAATGAACACTAAGAAACAATAAGTAACATGCCAGTTATGTCATGTTATGCTGTCATGTATTATGTTTCCTCATTGTTGTTTTATTTATAACATAATGTTGAACTTTGAACAACCTATATCACACTTTTTACACACAGATGAAAAACACATCAGCTAAGAATGCTCTCAACTAGGAATAAAAGAAAACATTATTTAGAGGTTATTATTTAGGTTTAGTAATTATTGAACTATTTTCTATGACATATTAAAAATACTATACCTCATCCCATAAAAATGTACAGTTATTTTGTGTGAATTAAAATTTTTAAAAGAAGTAGTCTTTAGAGAGACAACAAGAATTGGTTCAGGAATTTGACCACTTTGGGTCTGGTACTTCTGAAATTGTCTTGGTGATGGCTCATGTTTGCCTTCTCATGGTCACCAGATGGATGCAACAATTCCTTGCATCTCAGTGTAGCTTTAAGGGAGAAGGGAGGAAGAATCAAGTCATCCTGTGTATCAGGCAATGCCTTATAGCATGCCCTTGTATCAGGTAAAGTCAGAACCTTCTTGGAACTCTTAGCAATTTATACTCATGCCTCATTTCCATATCCAAAGTGTATGGCCACTGTCTGCAAGAGATCACAAGAAATTAGTGTTGTCCACTGCTACAGCAAATCATGAGAATGAGCTAAAAAGTATTAAATTGTTATTTGGCAATAGATGATAGAAACAAAGATGATAGGAAGGAAGGAGAGAAGGAGGAAGAAAGGAAGGAAGGAAGGTAAGTAGGATGGGAGGAAAGAAATGAGAAGGAATCAGGAGAGAGAAAAATAATTAAAATAGGGAGAGTATATTCCACTGTAACCTTAAAATAGGAAAATGAAGAATTCCAAGTGAGAGAGATGCTATGAAGCTATATGTAAATGTTTTCCTAATTCTTTCCAGGTTGAAATATCAGAAACATGCTCACTCTGTAGACAGTGCCACTAGCAGCCAAAGCAAATCAGCAAAGAACCGGCGAGTTTTGTCAATTAGCAAGTCAAAGGAAAGCACCAGGTGAACTATCACTAAGAATCTTTGACCATTTCAGAGTGTCCAAAATTTAAAATCACCACACTGCATAAATAATTTAAATAACATCAAATTCCTAACACAGATTTTTGGAAGGAAAATACAATTGTGAGTTATTTGTTGTTTCCCTTTACAATCACTTTTAACAGTTCTGTAAATGCTAGTGAATATTTGTGGAAGCTCTTTCTTTTCCTTTGGATCAATGTCTCACATTATGAAAAACAAACAGGCTGTATGAATTGCAGTAGTATCAATTCAGTCAATTCCATCTCCTTTTCTAGGGTATGTTTTCCCTCTTAGGCTTCATAAAACAAGAGTGAAACGATATACTACTTCTAAAACCCTGGTTCCCAACTGGGCTGTAAGTTCTAGGATAGAGGACCTCAGTGTTTGGTCACTGCTATTTCCCTGGGATTTACAATAGTGGCAGGGAAAATGGTAATCCTTAGTGGTTGTCTAAGTAGATAAAAATTAATTAATTGTAGACCAGTCGTGTATTAGGCAAATATTATTGTACTCCAAGGTAGAATTCAGTGAATCTTGTAAAACTCTGCTGCAACATGGATTGCACAGCAATACAATCACACATCAGACCCTTCTTCAGAAAAAGAGCTTCCTGATCCAAACAATTAGACTAAAAAAATCTTGAGACTAAGACCCACATGCTTGGTTTTGGCCTTCATTGCCAAGGTTGGAGCCTGACATGTAATAAATGTGAAATAATTTATATTGAATGACTATCAAAGTGATGGCAATCAACACTCTAACTCAAACCACTAAAATAAGATTAAATTGACATGTTCCTGATGAACATTCAAACCCTGAACTTCAGGTTCATATTATTCAGGTTCAATAGCATTCAGCTTTCCAACTTAAAGGCAAATGAAAATCTTAGCGGAAATTCATAAGACCCAAGTCAGAGATCAACAAACACTCATACATACACACATGCACATACACATCATGCAAGATTTTTTTTAGATCATTCTGGGAGAGTAAATTAAATTATTCCCAAAGAGAATAATAATAATTCCTAAGAATCCGACTGGTGTATTTCCTAAAAAGCAGAATCAGATAACCCTATGAAGAAAAGGATTATTATATTTAAATATAATTATCTTTAATTATTACTTTAAATTAGACCTCACCATTAGCACCAAGATACACACAATTTTACAACAGAACAGCAGATAAGGTAGATATATAAATTTTCAACAAGTCATACACTGCATTTATAGAAATACTTTTGAAAAGGACTTTTCTTTTTCAATTGTGTGTTTTATTATTATTATTATTATTATTATTATTATTATTATTATATTACATGCAAGTTTAGCTAGGACAGCATAAGTCACATCATTATCCTGTAGGAATGTACATGCATACTTGCTCTTATTGATTCAGTAAAGCCATAAATATCCTTCTCACAGGAGTGCAAACACAAAGGCACTTTTAGTTTAGGCATTTTGTTCATGAAATAAATCAAATTATATATATTTTTGGAGATATATATATATATACAGCAGAACATGCAAACAAAGATGGGAATAAGTCATTTAGAAATCAGAAGGCTGAAGCATTAATTGAACATTACCTTTTTCTTATAGTGAGGAACATGCATCATGGTCATTTCTGTCTTTTCTCACAGTGCTGATTTCAAACCCCCAGCTGAGAAGGCAGCTGTGCGAAGCAAGGAGCTGGTGAGCTCAGCAGGAGTTCTGTATCCTAATGCTAGTCCCAGAAACCCGGGCTTTCTTTCAGCTGCCGTGTTGTCATTAACAATGTCAGAAATGTTGTCTTCTTTTCCGCAGCAGTGGTACAAAGATCACAGTGATGATTTCTCTGAAGACTTCAAAAGCCTGTATCACCTTATTTTTATTGCTATTTGTTTGCAATGTAGCCTCTAACAAGCAGGCATTGGCTAGTTTTCAAAATATTTAAAATTTGGGAAGCTTTCATTAATCACAATCTTAATGGAATAGATAACAGTAAAACAGACATGAAAGTTGACGCATATGGGAGGAGTGTGGATTGCATTGCCCCTCACCCCATGCCAATGGGGGTGGGGGGAGAGAAATGAAAAGAGAAAGCCTCCTCTATTACACAACATTTTTTTCTTAGATTGCACCATTGAAATCTTCATCTTTAATAAAAACAGAAATTATATTTTATGCCTTTGATAAAAGTAGTAATACAAAATTAACAGCAACCTAAAATAAAGCAACATTTCTTAAAAGCCCTTGAAATGAAATTAATTTGCATCTGTTTCCATAGAGTGGCATTAAAAATGTTTTATGAAGTACTCAGAAAGATTGAAAAATGATTACAGGGCGAGCACTGAGCAGCATAAAGGCTGCAGTTACTAGCTGTAGGGCATGATTGATGTTACCAGATTGTCACAGATGAATGAAGCACGTCACTGTCAGAGGCATGGATTCTGGTGGGGTTTATAGTCTTCAAAATCAGAGGACAAGCAATCATTTACATTTCTGAAAGAATCATAGATTTTAAATATATATATATATATATGTATGTACATGTGTGTGTGTATATATATATGTATATATGTATATGCTTGATGCATACAATTAAATTTATACTTATAATATCCATGCATCCTAGTATGTATATTCAAGCACATTTGTTAGTATTGAATAATTATTACTATGTTTCAACAATTTTATATATATATATATATATCTTTTATTACTATGTGCACTGAGTACTTTTTACCTCAAATCTGCAGGTATAAGTCAGTAAAAAATATTTGATGAAGAATAATGACTCCAAGTCATTTTAAGGCTATCTTTTATTTATATTCACTTAATTTTACAAATTGATTTGAGTAAAGATATGGAGCTAAAATATCAATATTCTGAAATTCCGATTCACCTCTGGCTTATTTTATCAAATTGATAATTACAAGAATAAACGCTCTAACTTAAAAATCAAGATTACATAAAACAAATATTTAGATAGAAACATTATTGACACATCTTACAGCAAGTGGCCTTTGCTTACCAGATGAAGTTCCAATAAAAGAAAATTGAGAAAATGGAAGAGTAATATAAGACAATTGTTGAGAAAACATTACCACAAATTTAGTATGTTAAAACAAAACACAGAAGTCTCATCTTGGATATTTAAATGCACAAATTTGATAGAGAATTATGCAGCTCAAAAATATTACCATACCATTTTTCTATTTCCTTACAATCATTTCTTTTTCTTATACATATTCATTCACAATAACCATTGTTGTGATTTCTGCCAATAGCTGACATTATTTCTCTGAAGAAGTTGTGTGAGATTTTGTTTAGCAAAACATTGCTTCTTAAAACATCAAATATTCACTTTTAATATTAACAACTATATTCAAGTCTGTCCAAACAGATGATACCTGCTCATGACAAAGAACATGAACAGACACTTCATAAAGAGCAACTGAAAACCATAAAGACACAGATTACAAAAAAACATTCAACCTTCCAAATTCTTGCAGGGATTAAAATTAAGATAAAAATTCTATTCCATTTTCACCTATCAAGCAATCAATGTTTATTAATATGCAGTTAACAATAATGAGATAGAAGTACAATATCTTATCAGTATCCTATATTACTGTTGATGATTCAACCTGAAACATTTCAATTTGGCAGGAAAATACAACAGTAGAAGACAGCAAAGAAAAAATGACCACATATGTGATACTAGTAGCCATCTCTGAAATTCTACTTAAAGAAAAAAAAAAGCTTAATTTATAATAGTGTTCAGCATATTATATCACATAATTGAGAAAATGGGGGAAAAACACATGTCCAACAATAAATAAATATTTCAGAAGACAAAAATTGATGGTAGCTGTGGGAAAAATATCATCAACAACAGGCACAACAGGAGGTATGTGCGTGTGACCATGTCCGAAGCAAGACAGAGACAAGGACACGATGACCACAGAACAGCTGAGCAATCCTCCTCCTTGTTCTAACCTTCATGATACCTGCTCAATTCCCAATGACCATGCACCAGTGTTCTGGTCCTCTAACCCCCTAGGGAATTTTTGCCAAGACAGCTAATCCCCAACTACTCCTGCTTTCTGACAACATCTAATTCAGAAATGGACTCTTCCCTTTAAAGCCCTATGGGAATCATCCTGCTGAAGCCCAAGTCCTTTCAAAAGCCTGGCCCGAAGTCCTCCCTCTAAGAACTCCACAGCTCTTCCATTAGGCATCGTCCTCAACTGCAGCATGCTAAATGAACCTCATCTGGTTAAATGTGTTCATTTGCATGGTCTTTGGCTGGTGTGTTTTATTAGCTCTGTGACAATCTATCATGTTGGGCATTAGGCTGCCATTATAATGGCAGCATGAAAAATAGAAAAACACGAGAATGCTGACATTAAAAAAGTGTAAAGAAGACATAACAAATGCTGTAGCTTAAAGCACTGAGTTTATTGGGTAGTTTGGTCCTTGTTTTCTTCTCTACCAAAAGTTCAGCAAATTATATTTCTAATAAAAAAAAAACAGTTTGATAAAAAATGAAAAAGGTAAACTGGGCACCGTGGAACACACCTGCAATCCTAGTGGCTCAGGAGGCTAAAGCAGGAGGATCACAAGTTCAAAGCCAGACCCAGCAATTTACTGAGGCCCTAAACAACTTAGGAAGACCTGGTCTCAAAATAAAAAATAAAAAGGGCTTTGATGTGGCTCAGTGGTTAAGTACCTTTAAGTTTAATCCCTGGTCCCCCCCCCCACAAAAAAAAATCAAAGCTTACATAAAATCTCTCTCAACTAAATAAGAAATATCTAATGCACTAATTTTTTCTCCTATTTATTCAGTGAAGAATTTGCACATAGCCATTAATTTATGCATATTATTAATTAACCTCATGACCTTAAGTTGTTAAAGACAATAATTAATTAATTCATTATCCACATAGCTATTTGATGTATTGATATATATAATGAATTAATTTATATGCATTGGTAACTAATACACATAACAATGCAGTAATTAATTTTTCCATATTCATTCACTCATTTATTATTTTGGGTTCATTCATTTATTATTTCATCAAATATATGCTTAGCTTCTTGAAATTTCCAGCCATTTCCCAGAGCTAGGTGTCAATGAAGCAGTGTTGAACACCATGAGCTGCCCACTAGACAGGAGCTCACTCTGTAATGGGGAGGCAGAGAAGGCAGATATTCCCTAAATAGAGAGACAGGTGCTCTTTTCTCAGACACAGATGATGCTCTCGGAGCTGACTCCAGGAGCAACCAGTCTCTTGGTAGTCACCCTAGAAGGTAGGAGTGGCCAGGGGTGACTTCCAGGAGGAGGTGATGCTTACCAGGATCCCTAAACTACAAACATGTGTTTGTTAGTCAAAGGAGAGGAGAAAGAGTATTCCAGGCTGCATAGGAGTATGTAATTAAGAGCTAAAATGAGAAAGACAATTAATGCTTCAAGAGATTAGAGAAGTTGAGCTTAATGTGGGTGTAATCAGTGAGGGATTTGTGAAGGGAGTGGAACTTGACCTAGATCTTAGAAAATAGAGAAGGCACATGGGGCTGGGGGGTGAGGCAGATCTGGAATAAGCATTTTTCCTACCCTGTGGCATGGTAAATATACAATGTCAATATAAATTGTTTTAGGATAGTTTGCTTGTATTCACAGTCATCAACTAAATCAACAAGCTTAAGTTTAATTTTGGGCAATCTCTTCAAGGAGTTTATGAATTACAAATTAAATCAGAGCTCACATGTGACAAATCCTCACTCCAGTGGTAGTAAATGGTCTCTTGCTACAGTATCTTTCTTGAGCCCAGGGAAGTGACACACAAAACAGTCAGCTGAAAAGCTTAAATGGAAACTTTTCAATCTAATCCAGTTATCCCGTGAAGTCACCACCTGTCTATTAGGATTTCCCTCACACTACTACAGAGGGATTTTTCAGATACACTTCTGCACTTTTGCCTTCTCTGAACTCAGAATTGGACCAAATATGAGAACTGTAAACGGCAATGCTTTTTTTGAAATTAACTAGCTAAAGAAGAAAAAAAAGAAGAAGAAGAAGAAGATAAGTCAGATTTTGATGGAGAAAACCTTTGCCAAGTTCCAAAGGTATAAAAATACAAAGTGCAGTGAAGGATACATTTCAAACTTTAAATTGGGTTTGGAAGTGTTGCAAGTGTAGTTACATATGGCAGGCAAACAGAGCACATGCCAAAAGAGGCAAACGAGTGTGAGAAAGTGTGAAGTTTGATCATGCATATGGGGAACATTAGCAAAGGGAATAAATAAGATAATGTCTGTATAGCAAGTGGGCCACATTTTTATAAGAAAGCAAGCCCAGTGGAAGGGACAGTTTTGAACACAATATGACTGAAAACCCAGACAAATGCCATTTGGAAAACTAGATTGTACTTGATTTTTATTTTTCCTGCTGAGTCTTACTAATGGTCTTTAATTCTTAATCTAAAACCTTTAATTTTCCATTCCATTAGCAAAAACACCTGAAAGAATCCCGTTGTTCTGTAGAGCTAAAATGCAGACACACCTACAAAGAGTCAGAAGACAA